CCAGTTGCAGAGAATCCAGGATGTGAAACTTCCAATGCACAATAATGTGGAGTAGGTTATGAATTTAATGCCTCCTATACTTCATTTTACGCTACTTACCAGACATATCCGACCCTGCTGAAGGTATTCAATTCCATACAGCTGTCCTACAGAAAGCATACCTAACATTATTTGAAGACCATCCTATGATGGCATCACAGCACTCGAGTCATCAGTTCTGGTATCTCTACATGGGCTAAAGCATTTTTAGTTTTAACGAACACAGTTTTGCTTCAGAGACACCAGCAATGATAAAAGATGTGCAATTTGTCTTCCTGGGAGAAAGGTTAGAGAGAGGCGGACTTGATTTAAGAAGCAGGATATTTTAGAGCGAGATCAAAAGCACTTTTATACACAAGCAGAAATAGAGAAGGAAAAAGATGGAAGGTTTCTCCTTCAACTGCAATACTAAGAAAATTAAGACTCGCAGAAGGGTATGAGATTAGACTGAAAGGAAGTTTAAGAGGTACAGATCTTTTCAAATATGAAACTCTTGGCAAGTAAGATGCAACTGTAGCTGAAAAATTCCTGTCCTAGATCTATATCTCTTACATTCTACAACACATGTCACCAGAACAGTTAAACTGTAAGTCAGAGTGACCACAGGCAGAAGGAACTCTGAGGAAGCAGATGCTAACAACTACAAGCATGGAATACTGCTTTTACAACAGCTTTACTATGCAGTTCTACATTCCACAGAAAGGCTCAGACAAGACATCTGAGCACACCTTACAACCTAATAGAAACTCTGACCATCTTCTCAGATCTTGGAGTCATGGGATCAAGTTGCAACAAACCTATTAAGACTGCTTCTGATCCTAGGACAACATATACAACAAGCTAGAAAAGTTATCCCTTTCCATACGTAAAACTCTATCAAGCTTATACCTTACATGTAATTTGGGAAATAAGTCAGTCACAACAACCAGTAAGCACTTTCAGAGTATTACAAAACACAAGTCTGACCAAATTCTGCTCATCTTCAGCAAAACTACACAGCAGATAGCAATTAAGAGAAGGACAAGTACCTAGGCTCAGGCGACAAAGTGGGCATTTGTTCGTTTGCATGGAATTTGAGGCACAGAAGTTGAGGCTCTTCTGGACTGTGCTTTTAATGCAGTTGTGTTGCCTCCATTAGAACCATTCACCAAGGATGCCCCAAGGCTCAAAGCTTTGCTTGCCTCTGCACAGGTCTTAAAACTCCCATCCTTCATATTTCCTATAGTGAACTGTTCAAAATGCGCTATTTCCTTACTGAGCTCTTGGCAGAACCGTACATCACCAAGGCACCTCACTCTAAGATATGGGGATAAAGTCTTAAATATGGAAGACTTTTTCCCTGTAGGAGCTCAGCCTCAGGCAAGGCAGGATACGAAAAAAAAAAAAGCCCTCACTGCAAACAATTTTTCCCTTACCTGTTCTTGATCCTTTTGCAGTTCTTGGCTGTTCTTAGACTTCTTTGGCTTAGAAGGGCCTCCAGGGCTGGAAAAAGTTGTTGGCAGCTTTGATGATGGCATCTCTAACCCAAGAGATGGTTCAGCTACAGAAGAGTCCCCCAGACGCTGTCCATCTCCAAAAAAAGGGACGAATGGGGTAGACTCAGAGGAAGGCCGCAGCTCCTCCAAGCTGGCATGAGATTCTTTAATCGAGTCTTGCTTGTCTGTGCAGCTGTTTAAAGACATGGCCACATCTCTGTGGTCCAAGTCCTTTGGGAATGTGTCAGGTTGAGGTAGGGGCACATCCACTGCTCCTTCGATAGAGCCTGGCTTCACTGTCAGCTCATTACACCGCACCGTGGCACCCACAGCTTCCTCCCGCCCCGATGAACTGCATTTCTTCATGACAACTCTTAAAGAAGACACCAAAAGGAATAAAACCAAAATCATTTATCCTAACAGTACTGTCCTCCCCATTCTCAAGGTGACCATGACACAAGGAAGACAGTTAGACTCAAATATACCCCTAATTTAACAATCTGCTTCTTCCAGACACTCACAAAGAACAAGCTTCAGTTGCTCTGAAGTTAGGGGTAGGGGGTCAGGGGTTTGTGCAAAAAAAAATACAGAACAGGAACTATCTGCTCCACAGGAAGAAAACTGTCTTCCAGGAAAAAACAGCAGTCAGCTGTAAAGCACAGCTTCTAATCACTCCTGCCTTCTGTATATACTGCAAGGAACTGGCCAGAAGATCACAGGACGGCTGTCACCGTCCCCCACCTCACCCTCCCAGGCAGTCAGCAGGAGGCACTGCAGGGACGGGAAGTTTAATGCCTGAAATTCAAAGCAGGGAGGAATGAAGTGGCTGATGATTGTCCTCTCAGAGAGACTTTCAACTTTGAATTCTCTGTTTTACTCACAGGG